CACCTGCAATGGCCCACAGAGAAATAGTGAGTGACTGGAGGAGAGGCGAGGGGGTGAAGGAGGAGATGCACGATCAGAAGAAGCAGAGGGGAAGGGGCCACTGGTGCAACCTCAGTTACAAGCCACAGACCCAAGGGGGAAATATACCTAGGAAGGCTTAACCTGAGAGTATACCTGCACCAGGGGGGGTCTACCTTAGAAAAACCGGGTCTGTGGCTTGAAGCTTTGGCTGAACCAGAGGCTTGCGTTTGAAGCGAGAAGAAACAGGAGATGCAGCAAAGAACACAAGAGAGAACTGGAGTAGAGAGGCCGGGCAGGAACTTAGCTGCGGGTGAGTTGGGTGGAGAGCAGGTGCTGCCTGTGCACTCCATGTCCCCCGCCAGTGCCACTCCCGTGTGAGAGACCTGCTGCCCCGCTGCTGCCCTCCTGCTGCCCCCGTGCTGCCCTGCTGCTACGCTGCTACAGCCTTCAATGCTCTGGGAGGGAGGAGAGAGGAAGGGGAGACGGAGGGAGGCAGGGGATAAAGGGACAGCAGTGAGAACAGGGAGAAGCGTGAAGGCAGGGAGCAAGCAAGAAAGAAACGTGAGCATTGGGAGAAGAACAAGCAGCAGCATGAGTGCACGAGGGAAAAGAGGCTCACCTTGTTCCAGACGACCCCATCCCAATACTCTCCCATTCCATCCCAGCCGAGTGGAGTGCTGCCCCCCTCCCCCCCCACCATTGCCACCTGCACGGCCACAGGGGAGGGGCGTGAGGGAGCGTCGGTGTTGACCCCACACCCCTCCCCGCCACCTGCAATGCGCACACACAGAGCTAGTCAGAGCGCAGTGGTGGGAGCAAGTTAAAGGGGAAACTGTGACTTGAAATCCAGCACAAGGGAAGGGAGGAGGAGCCACTGGTTGAGGCACGGCCACAAGCTGCAGACCCAAGGGCACCTGAAAAAAAACCTGAGGGGTGTACCTGCACCTGAGAGGGTTACCTGAAGTGGAGGGGTCTGTGGCATGTGAACCGCACTCAACCAAGGCCAGTGTTTCAAAGGGAAGGGCAAAAGCACAACCGGCAAACGAAATGGCAACAAGAAAGCAAGAAGCCATGATGAGGCGGGCAAGGGTGAGGGCATGGAAGTGGGTGACTTAGCTGATAGCGTGAGAGCGAGCTCAAGGCAGCTGCAGCACCACCAGCTGCCTCCCTCCGCAGTAGCCCTCCTCCAGGTGCCTCCTCCCTGCACGGCCACAGGGGAGGGGCGTGAGGGAGCGTCGGTGTTGACCCCACACCCCTCCCGCCACCTGCAATGCGCACACACAGAGCTAGTCAGAGAGCAGTGGTGGGAGCAAGTTGAATGAAAGACTGTGACTTGAAATCCAGCTCAAGAGAAGGGAGGAGCCACTGGAGGAGGCACGGCCACAAGCTGCAGACCCAAGAGCACCTGAAACCAAACCTGAGGGGTGTACCTGCACTGCACTGCACCTGAAGGGGTTACCTGCAGCTGAGAGGGTTTCCTGAAGTTGAGGGGTCTGTAGCATGTGAGCAGTACTCAACCAGTGGCGTTGTTTCAAGAAGACGGTGCAACAGCGAATGAAACCAAAGAAACGGTATGGCAGGCAAGGGTGCGGGCATGGGGGAACGGGTACTTAGCTGATTGTGTGGTGCAGGCGGAGGGGGTGCTTCAATGGAGAGTGGGCAGGGCGAGCAGGGACGGACCTGCGAGGCAGAGGAGAAGGGAGAGAGATATATGGAGATAGTGAGAGGCAGGTGGGAGGGAGCGACTCTTTCAAACGAGAAGACAGGCAGCAGTGTGAGTGCAAAATGACGGTGGATGTGACGCCAACCACAACCCCACAAGAGCCGCTACCAACCTGAACCTGAACCTGCACCTGAACCTGAACCTGAGGGGGAGTGGGCTCGAGTGGAGTGTGGTGGCAGGGGCGATACTACAACCTCAACCGTTGATGAGGCCGGCGCTGCTGCCCCGCTGCCCGCGCTCCTGCTGCCCGCCCTGGTGCTCCCCTCGCCTGCTGCTCGCCTGCTGCACTCCCCCTGGCTTGTGAAGGCCTGGCAGGGAAGGGATGGGAGGGCAGGGAGGGGAGGGAGGGCAGGGCGGAAAGGAAAGGCATCCGAAAGTAAGAGGGGTTGCAATGGAGAAAAGTGTCAAACACACGTGCAACGGCACAAACGACTGTGCATGTGACGCCAACCACAACCCGACAAGAGCCGCTACCAACCTGAACCTGCACCTGAACCTGAACCTGAGGGGGAGTGGGCTCGAGTGGAGTGTGGTGGCAGGGGCGATACTGCAACCTCAACCGTTGATGAGGCCGGCGCTGCTGCCCCGCTGCCCGTGCTCCTGCTGCCCGCCCTGGTGCTCCCCTCACCTGCTGCTCGCCTGCTGCACTCCCCCTGGCTTGTGAAGGCCTGGCAGGGAAGGGAGGGGATGGAGGGCAGGGCGGAAAGGAAAGGCAGCCGAAAGTAAGAGGGGTTGCAATGGAGAAAAGGGTCAAACACGCGTGCAACAGCAGAATTGACAGTGCATGTGACGCCAACCACAACCCCACAAGAGCCGCTACCAACCTGAACCTGCACCTGAACCTGAACCTGAACCTGAGGGGGAGTGGGCTCGAGTGGAGTGTGGTGGCAGGGGCGATACTACAACCTCAACCGTTGATGAGGCCGGCACTGCTGCCCCCGCTGCCCGCGCTCCTGCTGCCCGCCCTGGTGCTCCCCTCGCCTGCTGCTCGCCTGCTGCCGTCCCCTTGGCTTGGGCTGGTCTGGCAGGGAAGGGAGGGGGGGGCGGGGAGGGCAGGGAGGGGAGGGCCGTGAGGAACGGGGTGAAGGCAGTGAGGGAGCGAGAGTGAGATGGGGAATGGAGAGTGCAGCGTGCGAGACGGCAGGAACAACAGGCAAGACAAGGGAGGGGCCACTGGAGGAGCTCATCCACAAGCCACAGACCCTCAGGGGAACCTGAGGGGGCTGTAAGGCTTTAGGGGGGCTGAACCTGTACCTGATGGGTTTACCTGCAATTGGGGGTGGGGGTCTGTTGCTTGTGAGGCGGGCCCCAACCAGTGGCGGGTATTTCAGGGAGAGACGGTGAGCAGCAACGGTGGACAGCAAGCGAGAGAGAGTGGAGGGAGGAGAAGGCACTTAGCTGGCGGTTGAATAAGCACCGAGCGGCGATGCTGCTGCTGCCGCAGCTGCTGCTCACCCCCACGCCAACGGAGGCACAACCGTGCGACCATTTCGCCATGAAACGAATTGCGGACGCGTGCGACGACGTGCAGCCAACGATTTCGCCGTGCGATGACGCGCACACAACGATTTCGCCGTGCGTCGCAGGGGTACGTCGCGCAGACGACGATTTCGCCGTGCCACGACGCGCAGACGACGATCTCGCCGTGCGACTACGCGCGGACGATTTCGATAGCGTCGACTGTCGCATCTGAACGCAGACAATAACGGGGAGTGAGGAATTTGGGATAACGAGCAGTGATAACGACGCAGCAAAACAGCAACAACGACGAGTCGTAGGGACGGGAAATGCGATTGTGAAGATTCAGCGGAGCAACGGGAAAGACAGACGTACAAATAACTCAATCATCGTGAGACATACCGAGTCATTTGCGGGTATCGTTATGATGAGCGTGACCAGTGGCCGGAGGACGGACGAAGCAACGAACGGTGTTCACATGAACGAGGAATTGCGTCGCCGCGACGGGAGTATATGGCGAGCGTGAATCGGGAAGAACACGTGCAAGTCGGGAAAAGGATCATCTGAGATGTGCGACAGCGAAACGTGAAATCTGATGATCGCATTGGAATATCGCATTGGAAGATTAACCCGAGGTTCTCAGTGGCGACGATTGAAACAGAAAACGAAGAGCTTCGCTAGCAGGCGGAGGAAATGAACTCAGACGGCGAGGAGCTTGGTTGAAACCGAGCCGAATGAACCAGTGTGGAGAGAAATTGAGCCGAAAATGACGAAGAAACTGGTGAGAATGAGGAGGCGACTGGGTCACGGATTCAGTGAGCCTCCCTTCCCGTCACCCTTGCAATGATGTGGCTTTCTCAGGAACTGGATCTGACGGTTCCAAGTTGATCATCACTTCTAAGGTTGGATCTAGTTATAATCCTAGCCGTAGCTTAGGTGTGCCAAACATGTGTGGTTCAGGCGAGGGGGGAACCATCCGTCCGCTAGACCATTCACGTGCCCCATCGCCGACAAGCGGCTACATCGAAACGGAATCATCCAACGCGTACCAGAAAGTGTTCGTTAGCGGAAGCGGGAATGGAGGAATTGAAGAGGGAAGAATATCGCTCAGGATCTCGACCGTCGATTTGCAGATCTACTAACAGTATCCGTCATCCCGTCAGGTCGCCCACTGTCGCCCGCATCGCACAAATTCGATGTGCCAGCGTTGGCCAACGAGAGGCCGCCAAAACCCCAGCCTTGTAAGAGATCCGTTGTGATCGTTTGGGTGCTCTCTGCTCGGTGGAAGTGCTTCAGTTCAGAATCTGGTTACACTCCGTGGGGAAGATCCAAGTGGCGAAAGAACAGACTCCCAAGGCTCACGCTGCTGACGATACGTGTGGTAACTTCTGGGATTCACGCTAACGCCAATCAGTGTGCCCGAGAATGTTCTGACGTGGCAAATATCTCTGGGGCATGACAGCATCGGTTTGTTTATTTTAGCTACAGAGTTCAATTGATGTACAGTTGCTCTAACGCAAAACCACTCACGGCTACAATGTATGATTAAGACCATATAATATTCAGTGTCCACTGTCCATCAAATAAATATATGAATGACAATTGATAGTTCAGATGTGTAATCGAAAAACAGTGCTACTGTCCATTTGTTTGTACAGCTCTCGTCATTATGGCATGGTATCAGTCACTTATACAGGGAGTGATTGTTCACATCCTAGTCCCAGCACCAGAGTCTAACAGTGAGGGCAAATCTTTCCAAGGCGGCAAGGTCACCACTGGTAGTGATTACTCACGCATCCTAGTCCCAGCACCAAAGTCCAGCAGTGAGGGCAAATCTCTCCACGGCAGCTGCCAAGCCATCATAGTCGTTTGTGGTCGACACATGGTCTGCCACTGCCTTGACCGAAGGCCCAGCATTTGCCATTGCCACACCCAAACCAACCATCTGGAGCATCTCAATGTCATTCTCACCATCTCCTGCTGCCATGACCTGCTGCGGGTGCAGACCCATAATGTCGAGCACAGTGGCAAGGCCCGTGGCCTTGGAAGCACCAACTGGAAGCACTTCCAGCATGCCAGGTACTGATGTGATGAGCGACCCTCTGCCACCCAGGTTCGCGTCCAGACGAGGCCTTAGTGCTGCCAAGGTGTCATCGTCAGCCATGAGAATGAGCTGGAGGGTTCGTAGGCCAGGGATGGGGATGTTGCAAAAAATGGTACAGGAAGAATGGGTTATCACATTCAAGCATCCATTATATGCAGTCGGGAAGCTTGAAAGAATATAATCAAAGGCCACTTAGGGGAGAATTGAAGGGAATGGAGAAACACAAGAGTGGCGAGGGAGTCAGCAGTCACGCTGGGCAACATACCTTGTGAATGGATGTGATGCCAATGAGGTCCTCAAGGGGCCCAACGGCTTCTGGGATTGGCTCGCCATAGGGAATCAAACGGTCAGTGTGCTCGTCCCTTTCTTCACACAATCTGGCAAACCAATCGAGAATGTGAGATATTTTAGTGAAGCTGTATGCTCTGTAGTTGCTAAAGGAGCACCTCGTGCACCCCTTAATTGCTCAAAATGCAGCCCTGCGAGGCATTGACACGAAGGGGGAGAGGCGAATGCCACCATGTTCACAGCGCTTACATTCTCTCGCCACAATAGGCCGTGAGCGTGACGCCTTCGGCTTTGCCGAACTGAATAACCTGCCGAGCCACATCCTCCGCCATGGCTCGCTCGTACAACAAAGTTCCGTCCGCACTGTACACCATCAGGCCCTGGAGAGAGACAATGAGATGATCAATGTTTGTGAGACGGATTCCGCATGGCCATTACTAAAATGAAATCACAAGACTGCCGATAATACAAAAGACTCACCTGTAAAAAGACTCCAGGAGTTTCAAGTTTCAAACGCTCCTTAATTTCAGGATACCACGGTCCTCGTGCTTTGCCAGTAGCCAGAACGACCTGCACCAAAAAAGGTCCGCTTACTAAGATAACCGTCGCTGGACAGTACAACCGTTGATTTGAAGTTCCTGAGATCAATTGAGCAAAACTGATAAATACTTGAACTTAATGATAAATTGATGCTAACCTGGATGCCTTGCTCTTGCGCCATTAAAAGCGCTCTCTCGGTCCGTTCACTCAAGGCGTGGTTGCTGTTAAGCAGAGTCCCGTCCACGTCAGTCGCGATCAGCGCAATCTGTCTCGAAGGCAGCCCGCGGTCCTCATATTGTTGAAACCGTTGTCGTCGGTTCAACCCGGCGTCCGAAACTTGCCTCACCGGGTTTTGCGGCTTCGGCTTGGCTGTCGTTTGCAGGAACTCCAGCTGGTATTGCTTCGTGCGCTTGCTGACTGTCCCTGGGACAACGGCGATGGCCCTAGTGCATGATTGGTGGGATTCGCGTGTTCTATGTGGCTGCAATGCAGAGCTGGAGACCTGAGAGCTCGACCATGCCTGTTGTCGCTGACTACAAGATGACAGATGCCTGCTCGGCGTTCTCGATGTAATTGGTGAGGCTATGGCTGCCATGGCTGCTGGAAGAACGTCAGTTGCGCGTTGATCTAAAGCTAATCAGAATTAACCTGCTAAGTCCAAAGAGATCGTCGAGCAGGCAAGCGATCTCGAGGTTGTAGAGGAAAGATGAGACAAGGTTCAGGAAGATGTGTGGATTGAAATAAACGGAAAAAAGATCGAGGTGAACTTTACCAAGCCCCTGGGAAGAGGAGGGAGAAGCCCAGGGGGAACCAGCTGATCCATCCGCAAACAAGGGAACGGCTGGGATGTGATCGATGGTGGAATCTCGATGGAGGAGGTCGGTGAAGCATGTGCGATTCTATCCACCAATCAGACCACGAAGGGGTGGACTGGAGGGGCAGGCGAAAAGGTAACGCGATTTGAATGGCTGCTAGCCGTACCAGAGTTCGTGGACAAAACGCGACTGTCGGGAAAATTCGATGCGGATTGGGCCTTGATGCGCTGAGTAGGCGCCGATTCCACGCGAATGGGTCTTTAGTCAACAAAAAGCTGCCACGTGACCAGCCTGGCATGTGTGTTCCTTCTCTCCCCGCTTCCTGACCTGACAGCAACAATGTCAGAAGCAGACAAACCACACAGAAGTGACCCCAAATCCTATTGGCGCTGGGGCTGCTTTCCTTTTCCGTGAAGCCCTGTCCCTGAAAGTTACAAAACGCGCTATAAAAGCATTCTGGTATGTATTGTGGTTCAGTTATGCAAGAACGGATAAAAAGAAACTGGAGAATGACTGACCCCAAGTCAAACCAAGGCTTCACCACACATTCATTCTTGTGAGAGTAATAACTGGTATTCCTTTGTGACAGCAGCTTGGATGGCCCCAAATTTACAAAAGGCAATCATCTTTACATTCTGTCTGTTTGTGAAGCCAATGGGTAGGTATATGCTGGCATACATTATTTCTCGGCCATAAATGCACTGCTCCTTCACTTCTGTCGTCTCTTTGTCCCTACACTCACTCCTCCATCCTCACCTTTCTTCTTCACAGCCTTTTTCACCTTTTCCACCTTTGAATCAGCCCCACTTTGACTACCCTTGCTGCTGCCTCCACCACTGCCACCACCACTACTCTTGCTGCTGCTGCTACTGCTAGGTTTACCACCAGAAACACCACCACTCGCCTTACTCCTGGAACTTTTCCTCGCACTCCTTGCTGCCCCTGCCTCTCCCACCGCCTTTCTCCGCATCACCATTCCACTGCCCCCTGCCAGCTCACTCCCACGCTGCTCTGCCCCTGCTGAGCCTGCTCTCGCAACAGCCGAGCCAGCAGCAGAGGTCTGCAGTGCAGGTGCACTGGAGGCAGGCACCCCTGGCGTGCCTTCGCCCCCCCTGGGCTGGCCTGCTGCAGGCCACTGAGGGGAGATGGTGATTCTGGGTGGCACTGGGGCGTCTGCACGCACTGAGGCACCGGCCGGTAGAGGCTGCACGAACACACGCATGCTGGCGGTGCTGCTGGTGGCGCTGCTGCTAGTGTTATACACTGCTGTTGCTAGTTGTGGTGGTGCCAGTGGTAGGGAGGCCGCATGAGAAGAGGGGTATGAGGAAGGAGAGGGGGAAGAAGAGCCTGATAGGATGGAGGCGAGATACGCGGGGATGTTGAAGGAGGGAGCGACGTGGGGGGGAGGGTCGTGCGGGGTGAGAGGCGGGTCGACGGAGGAGCGGCCATTGTGGGAGAGCAGAAAGTAGCCGTACGGCAACGCTGCATCCACCTGCCCATGGCCATGTGCGTGGGGGTGGAGTTTGGATAGCGGTGGGGGTGTGGGATGGGGAGGAGATGGAGATGGGAAGGGAATGGGAATGGGGATGAGAATGTTATTGGGCGGGAGGATGGCGATGGGGATGGGGGTGGAGATTGGGGAGGACTGCCATGAACGCTCTCAGCTTCATGCTACAGCAGCTCACAATCACAGCTGAGCACAGGCAGTCACACGTGCGCTGCTCTCACGCACCTGTATGTGCAGGGTGACGTGGAGGGCAGCACATATGACGTGGACGAGCGAGGGAGTGCCATCTGGCAGGGCGGGTCCCATGAGCAGCTGCTCACAAGTGGCAGGCGAGGCAGCCAGACCCACCACCACCTCCTCACGCCCGCCCTCTCTCCCATCACCCCCCTCACCCCCACCCCTTGCTGCTTCTGCCGCTGCTGCTTGGGCCCTCCGCTCCCGCCGCCTATCCCTGGCCCCCTTTCCCTGCCTGCCCTGCTTGCTGCCTGCCACTGCCACAGACTGAGCCTGCCGTTGGCAAGGGGAGAAACGGGTAAAGGGGCGTGCGTGGGATGCAAGGGTGGGGGGAGGAAGGGACACACATGGTGGTGCATGGGTGAGGGGAGGAAAGGGGGTGGGATGAGATGCAGGTGGTCAGACAAGGCCGGCAAGGCCTTCACAATCTAGCACACACCCACCCAACCCCCTGCCATCGCTGCACCCCCCAGATGTCCGCCCCCCCCATGTCCCTTCACATGCGCCGCCCAAAATCCCCCCCACAATCAGAAGCAGGCATGGGCGCACCAGGCAGCGGTGCAGGGCACGCTCGAGGCGGGCCAGCATGGCCAGGCGCGACTCCACCCGCCCCCCAAGTCTCCCCACCCCCCCAAGTCCCCCCACCCCACCCTGCGTCCCCCCAATCACCCACACTCCGCCACCCTCAAATCCCCCACACCCCGCAGCACTAGGCGCACCAGGCAGCGCTGAAGCGCGCGCTCAAGACGGGCCAGCATGGCCAGGCGCGACTCCACTCGCCCCGCCGCCCAGCAGCACCTGCACGGCGCCGTCAGCGAGGCGGCAAGGCTTGGACGCATCTGAGGGCATGTGCAGGTGGGGAGGGTGGAGGGGGAGGGGAGATGAGGGAAGGGATGGAGATGGGGGGTGAATGACTGCATTGCCTATACACCGCGTGGCAGCAGTCCACTACCCAACAGCACATGGGAGCACCGCACGGGACCGCAGTGCACCGGGCCAGAGAACACTCACGCGCTGGTGGGTGAGTTCGAGCAGGCCAAACTGCGAGATCTCCCCCACGCGCACTTGGCTGCATTGCATGGGCCCACACACCACATGGCACCACTTCACTACATAGCACCGCACTGCACCACTGTGCCGTGGTCCACACCACACCGCACCGCACTCACGCGCTGGCGGGTGAGTTCGAGCAGGCCGAACTGCGAGATCTCCCCCACTCGCACCTTGCGCCGATCCCCCCCCATCGCCCTCCTCACCTCCTCCTCCACCGCCCTCCGGTGCTCCGCTGGGGAAGGATGGGGAAAGAAAGGACGGGGGGAAAGAGGATAGCACATGTGATTATCTAGTAAAAGCAGCACAGCAACACTGAGAGGCAATCGCACGAATGCATGTCATTTGAGTCAAGGAGTCAACGGAAGTAATAAAGTCAATAGAATCAATGACATGAACAAGTCAACAGAGTGAAGGGAGGGACAGTCACCTTTATGCATGTCAATGAAGTCAATCACCACGAGCCCTCCCAGGTCCCTCAAACGCAGCTCCACTGCTATCTGCCACGGTATGGTTGAAGCAGTGGAGGGGCAGCAGTTGAGGGGCCACAGTAGGGAAGGCAGCAGTGAGGCGGGCAGCAGGGCACGAGAAAGGCAGCAGGGCAGGAGAAGGCAGCAGTGCTGAGGGATTGCCTGCAGGCCAAGTGCATGCGCAAGTGCTGCAGATACCCACCTGGCGAGCAATGTAGGCCCCTAAAGAGCAGGCGCGGAATGCATCCACCTGTCTGGTGGCAGCGAGGTTGACAGCAATGAAGGGGGTGGGCTGCAGCATGCGGTGACTCCTTGGCCGACTCAGGACACACCTGCCTCGCAGCACCACAGCTGCACGTAGCACCCACCTGTCTGGCAGCGGCGAGGTTGACAGCAAGGAAGGTGTCCTCCTGCCGTGCCGTGGGCTGCAGCACGCTCCACCCGCTGTTCACGTCTATTGCCACCAGCGCCTCCGTCTCCTCTATCACCAGTGACCCGCCCCCCGCCAGTGGCACACTGGAGAGGAGTGGCGGTGGCGGACAGAAGAGGGAGGAGGGGAGGGAGGGTCTGAGTTCACGTCTATTGCCACCAGCGCCTCCGTCTCCTCTATCACCAGTGAGCCACCACCGGCTAGGGGGACACTGATGTGGACAGAGGGAGAGAGGGAGACATGGCAATGCAGGGAGGCAGGCATGGAGGGCGGGGGTGCAGCACACTCCACCCGCCAGTAGTACACTGGTGTGCAGAGATGTGGCGGTGGGAGAGAAAGAGGGGAGGGAGGGGCGGAGGGAGGGACTGAGGGCAGGACTGAGGGAGGAAGTGAGGGAGGGAGTGAGGGAGGGAGTGAGGGAGGGGGCGAGGGAGGGAGTGAGGGAGGGAGTCAGGGAGGGAGCGAGGGAGGGAGCGAGGGAGGGAGTGAGGGAGGGGGCGAGGGAGGGAGTGAGGGAGGGAGTGAGGGAGGGAGTCAGGGAGGGAGCGAGGGAGGGAGTGAGGGAGGGAGTGAGGGAGGGAGTGAGGGAGGGAGCGAGGGAGGGAGCGAGGGAGGGAGTGAGGGAGGGGGCGAGGGAGGGAGTGAGGGAGGGAGTGAGGGAGGGAGTCAGGGAGGGAGCGAGGGAGGGAGCGAGGGAGGGAGTGAGGGATGGCCACGAGCGCCTCTGTCTCCTCTATCACCAGAGACCTGCCGCCTGCCAGTGGTACACTGGTGTGGAGAGGAGTGGCGGTGGAAGGCAGACAAAAGGGGGACCGCTGTTGGAGTGGAACGGGTTTGACACATCATGCAGTGTGGCGGTAGGAGACAAGGGGGGATTAGTCAGCGTGTACAAGTGTTGGGATTACCTGGCATGGAAGCAGAGGCGCGTACCAGCGGTGCAGCGCGGAGAGCAGCGCGGGCTCGATGTGGGCGGTGTCAAAGATGGGCGCCGGGCCTGTGTGCAGCTGCACCCGCCCACACAGCGCCGGCTGCATGCGCTGCAGATACGCCTCTAACTAACATGAATGAGACACAAGCACACATGGGGGAGGGGGGGGGGGGGGGGGTGCGTAACGGGGGGAAATGACAGGAGCCCATATCTTTAGGTGTCGGAACGATGGGGCGCCGGGCCCATCGTTGGGGGAACCTGATGGGGAACCTGATGCGGAACCTGATGCAGAACCTGATGCGGAACCTGATGGGGAACCTGAGGGGGAACCTGATGGGGTACCTGATGGGGAACCTGATGGGGAACCTGATGGGGAACCTGATGGGGAACCTGATGGGGAACCTGATGGGGAACCTGATGGGGAACCTGATGGGGAACCTGATGGGGAACCTGATGGGGAACCTGATGGGGAACCTGATGGGGAACCTGATGCGGAACCTGATGCGGAACCTGATGCGGAACCTGATGCGGAACCTGATGCGGAACCTGATGCGGAACCTGATGCGGAACCTGATGCGGAACCTGATGGGGAACCTGATGGGGAACCTGATGGGGAAACTGATGGGGAACCTGATGGGGAACCTGATGGGGAACCTGATGCGGAACCTGATGGGGAACCTGATGGGGAACCTGATGGGGAACCTGATGGGGAACCTGATGCGGAACCTGATGGGGAACCTGATGGGGAACCTGATGGGGAACCTGATGGGGAACCTGATGGGGAACCTGATGGGGAACCTGATGGGGAACCTAATGGGGAACCTGATGGGGAACCTGATGGGGAACCTGATGGGGAACCTGATGCGGAACCTGATGCGGAACCTGATGGGGAACCTGATGTGGAACCTGATGGGGAACCTGATGGGGAACCTGATGCGGAACCTGATGCGGAACCTGATGGGGAACCTGATGGGGAACCTGATGCGGAACCTGATGGGGAACCGGAACCTGATGCGGAACCGGAACCTGATGGGGAACCGGAACCTGATGCGAAACCGGAACCTGATGGGGAACCTGATGCGGAACCTGATGGGGAACCTGATGGGGAACCTGATGGGGAACCTGATGGGGAACCTGATGGGGAACCTGATGGGGAACCTGATGCGGAACCTGATGCGGAACCTGATGCGGAACCTGATGCGGAACCTGATGGGGAACCTGATGGGATGGGGAACCTGATGCGGAACCTGATGCAGAACCTGATGCGGAACCTGATGGGGAACCTGATGGGGAACCTGATGCGGAACCTGATGCGGAACCTGATGCGGAACCTGATGCGGAACCTGATGCGGAACCTGATGCGGAACCTGATGGGGAACCTGATGGGGAACCTGATGGGGAACCTGATGGGGAAGCTGATGGGGTACCTGATGGGGTACCTGATGGGGAACCTGATGGGGAACCTGATGGGGAGCCTGATGGGGAACCTGATGGGGAACCTGATGGGGAACCTGATGCGGAACCTGATGCGGAACCTGATGCGGAACCTGATGCGGAACCTGATGCGGAACCTGATGGGGAACCTGATGGGGAACCTGATGGGGAACCTGATGGGGAACCTGATGGGGAACCTGATGCGGAACCTGATGGGGAACCTGATGGGGTACCTGATGGGGAACCTGATGGGGAACCTGATGGGGAACCTGATGGGGAACCTGATGGGGAAGCTGATGGGGTACCTGATGGGGTACCTGATGGGGAACCTGATGGGGAACCTGATGGGGAACCTGATGGGGAACCTGATGGGGAACCTGATGGGGAACCTGATGCGGAACCTGATGCGGAACCTGATGCGGAACCTGATGCGGAACCTGATGCGGAACCTGATGCGGAACCTGATGGGGAACCTGATGGGGAACCTGATGGGGAACCTGATGCGGAACCTGATGCGGAACCTGATGCGGAACCTGATGCGGAACCTGATGGGGAACCTGATGGCGAACCTGATGGGGAACCTGATGGGGAACCTGATGGGGAACCTGATGGGGAACCTGATGGGGAACCTGATGCGGAACCTGACGGGGAACCTGACGGGGAACCTGACGGGGAACCTGACGGGGAACCTGACGCGGAACCTGATGCGGAACCTGATGCGGAACCTGATGGGGAACCTGATGGGGAACCTGATGGGGAACCTGATGGGGAACCTGATGCGGAACCTGATGCGGAACCTGATGCGGAACCTGATGGGGAACCTGATGGGGTACCTGATGGGGAACCTGATGGGGAACCTGATGGGGAACCTGATGGGGAACCTGATGGGGAAGCTGATGGGGTACCTGATGGGGTACCTGATGGGGAACCTGATGGGGAACCTGATGGGGAGCCTGATGGGGAACCTGATGGGGAACCTGATGGGGAACCTGATGCGGAACCTGATGCGGAACCTGATGCGGAACCTGATGCGGAACCTGATGCGGAACCTGATGCGGAACCTGATGGGGAACCTGATGGGGAACCTGATGGGGAAACTGATGGGGAACCTGATGGGGAACCTGATGGGGAACCTGATGCGGAACCTGATGGGGAACCTGATGGGGAACCTGATGGGGAACCTGATGGGGAACCTGATGCGGAACCTGATGGGGAACCTGATGGGGAACCTGATGGGGAACCTGATGGGGAACCTGATGGGGAACCTGATGGGGAACCTGATGGGGAACCTAATGGGGAACCTGATGGGGAACCTGATGGGGAACCTGATGGGGAACCTGATGCGGAACCTGATGCGGAACCTGATGGGGAACCTGATGCGGAACCTGATGGGGAACCTGATGGGGAACCTGATGCGGAACCTGATGCGGAACCTGATGGGGAACCTGATGGGGAACCTGATGCGGAACCTGATGGGGAACCGGAACCTGATGCGGAACCGGAACCTGATGGGGAACCGGAACCTGATGCGAAACCGGAACCTGATGGGGAACCTGATGCGGAACCTGATGGGGAACCTGATGGGGAACCTGATGGGGAACCTGATGGGGAACCTGATGGGGAACCTGATGCGGAACCTGATGGGGAACCGGAACCTGATGCGGAACCGGAACCTGATGGGGAACCGGAACCTGATGCGAAACCGGAACCTGATGGGGAACCTGATGCGGAACCTGATGGGGAACCTGATGGGGAACCTGATGGGGAACCTGATGGGGAACCTGATGGGGAACCTGATGGGGAACCTGATGCGGAACCTGATGCGGAACCTGATGCGGAACCTGATGCGGAACCTGATGGGGAACCTGATGGGTTGGGGAACCTGATGCGGAACCTGATGCAGAACCTGATGCGGAACCTGATGGGGAACCTGATGGGGAACCTGATGGGGTACCTGATGGGGAACCTGATGGGGAACCTGATGGGGAACCTGATGGGGAACCTGATGGGGAACCTGATGGGGAACCTGATGGGGAACCTGATGGGGAACCTGATGCGGAACCTGATGGGGAACCTGATGGGGAACCTGATGGGGAACCTGATGCGGAACCTGATGCGGAACCTGATGCGGAACCTGATGCGGAACCTGATGGGGAACCTGATGGCGAACCTGATGGGGAACCTGATGGGGAACCTGATGGGGAACCTGATGGGGAACCTGATGGGGAACCTGATGCGGAACCTGACGGGGAACCTGACGGGGAACCTGACGGGGAACCTGACGGGGAACCTGACGCGGAACCTGATGCGGAACCTGATGCGGAACCTGATGGGGAACCTGATGGGGAACCTGATGGGGAACCTGATGGGGAACCTGATGGGGAACCTGATGCGGAACCTGATGCGGAACCTGATGCGGAACCTGATGCGGAACCTGATGCGGAACCTGATGCGGAACCTGATGGGGAACCTGATGGGGAAACTGATGGGGAACCTGATGGGGAACCTGATGGGGAACCTGATGCGGAACCTGATGGGGAACCTGATGGGGAACCTGATGGGGAACCTGATGGGGAACCTGATGCGGAACCTGATGCGGAACCTGATGCGGAACCTGATGCGGAACCTGATGGGGAACCTGATGGCGAACCTGATGGGGAACCTGATGGGGAACCTGATGGGGAACCTGATGGGGAACCTGATGGGGAACCTGATGCGGAACCTGACGGGGAACCTGACGGGGAACCTGACGGGGAACCTGACGGGGAACCTGACGCGGAACCTGATGCGGAACCTGATGCGGAACCTGATGGGGAACCTGATGGGGAACCTGATGGGGAACCTGATGGGGAACCTGATGCGGAACCTGATGCGGAACCTGATGGAACTGCGGAACCTGATGGGGAACCTGATGGGGTACCTGATGGGGAACCTGATGGGGAACCTGATGGGGAACCTGATGGGGAACCTGATGGGGAAGCTGATGGGGTACCTGATGGGGTACCTGATGGGGAACCTGATGGGGAACCTGATGGGGAACCTGATGGGGAACCTGATGGGGAACCTGATGGGGAACCTGATGCGGAACCTGATGCGGAACCTGATGCGGAACCTGATGCGGAACCTGATGCGGAACCTGATGCGGAACCTGATGGGGAACCTGATGGGGAACCTGATGGGGAAACTGATGGGGAACCTGATGGGGAACCTGATGGGGAACCTGATGCGGAACCTGATGGGGAACCTGATGGGGAACCTGATGGGGAACCTGATGGGGAACCTGATGCGGAACCTGATGGGGAACCTGATGGGGAACCTGATGGGGAACCTGATGGGGAACCTGATGGGGAACCTGATGGGGAACCTGATGGGGAACCTAATGGGGAACCTGATGGGGAACCTGATGGGGAACCTGATGGGGAACCTGATGCGGAACCTGATGCGGAACCTGATGGGGAACCTGATGCGGAACCTGATGGGGAACCTGATGGGGAACCTGATGCGGAACCTGATGCGGAACCTGATGGGGAACCTGATGGGGAACCTGATGCGGAACCTGATGGGGAACCGGAACCTGATGCGGAACCGGAACCTGATGGGGAACCGGAACCTGATGCGAAACCGGAACCTGATGGGGAACCTGATGCGGAACCTGATGGGGAACCTGATGGGGAACCTGATGGGGAACCTGAT